TCACCCCCACTGCGCCCTGACCTCCCAAGGCTGCCCTTGCAGGGCACCTGGGAAACCCACTGGGGCGCCAAGACGCACAGATGCCGCCAGGCCCTCCAGGCCCCCAACTCTCAATTCGGACTGGACACAGTCACCGGGAGGAGGAAAGGCTCTCCCCTAGGCTCCTCCATACCCTCTCCCTCTCCCCCCCGCAACACACTCCTTCTATAAGGCCTCTGGGGGTGCACTGTGGTTGGAAGGGGGCTTGAAGCTGCGCTTGCACCGCCTCTTATCTAAGAATGAATCAACCTCAATTGTTCCTAAGAACGGGGGCGCAGGTAGAGCGAGCACCTCCCAACCTAACCCCTGTGTCCACACCCTGCTCTAAGTCATCAGAGGACCTCCCCCCCAAGACCCCGCAGTTGGGTGCGAGGACCAGCGGGTTGGACCCAGTTACCCGTTGCCCTGGTTGCCCACCTGTCTCCTGGGCCCCTTCTCTCCGGAGCCCCAGGGGCTTCTCCAGCAGCGCCCCCAGCTTCACCGCGTGTGCACCTCCACCTACCTCTGCCTTCGCCTCCAACTCAACCTCTGCTCTCCTCTCATCACAGGGTGCAGACTCCTCTCTCTGGGTCTTTTCTGCGGATTCCAATGGCTCTTTAAACGGGGGTGGGGATAGGGGTGGGGGGATGGGGGGAAAGAAAACAGAGCAACGAACAGCAAACAGACCCCTCTGGAGGCAGACAGACGGTTATAGTCAAAGTGGCAACAGCTCATTTATTTAGCCAAAAATAGATACTTTCTTGTACAATTTGGTTCGCACATATGTACATGTCTAAGGAATATATACAAACAAGTCAGACACGCTGATTCTCTCCGAAACGCCACTCCCCACAACCAGCCTCGCACACCCATCTCCCAAGCTCGGCTAATGTGGGGGACAGAAGCGACTTGGGGAGACTCCACCCGGGGGACTTGTTGTATTTTTTTTATTTCTTTTTTTTTTTTTGGTTTAGTTTTCTTTTTTTTTTTTTTAGGTATTCATACACAGACATGCTTACAAGTCATAACTATACAGAGCGATTACTTTGTTTTTTTACAATTATTACAACGATTAAAAAATTAAAAAAAAAAGAACTAAGAGGAGGAGAGGGCGGACAAGACCAGCGCGGCGTCCAGGTGGTTCTGGGGCCTGGAAGAGAGAGGCAGTGGTAGCAAAGGCCTGGGGAGCGAGGGGCACCCCCGCGGCCTAGGGCTGGGTGACACCATGGTCTGGGCTGGGGCCGGAGCGGGCCGTGTCACCGTGTAAAATGATGTCAGCAGTAGATGTGGGTCCTCCCATTTGACTGGGAGGTGGGTGGGAGGCTCAGGACTTGAGGTCCGGGGCTGGAAGTGCTTGGACTGGGGTAGGGTTGTGGGGCCATCTCTGCGCCCTTGCCCTCGGGGACAACTGAGGGTGTATTTCGTCCCCTTTTAAAAGCGTTTCCCAGCTGCGTCAACCCCGGGGGCAAAAGCCGGACTTCGCACCAGTCCTTTGCTTTTCTTGCCAGCCTGCTTTCCCAACCTCCCCCAACCCCCGCCCCTCGGGGTCTCTTACCGCCTGGGCACGGGCTGGAAGGCGGTCTTGAGTAACTTTTTCTCCACTTCCAAGGCACTGCAACGATCTAAGGGCAGCGGGGAGGGAAAGGAGGCCTTCAGAGCTCTGCGCCGGCACCCAGGGGTGGCCGCGGGAGGC